CCTCTGGCCAATCAGGAGGGGGCGCCCTCGCGGCAGGGCAAGGGGCGGGGAAACAGCGTGCTCCTCGGGCCAATCAGGAGGGGGCGTCTTCAAGGCAGGTTCCCGGGGTGGGGGCCGAGAGGGTGCTCTCCAATCAGCCAGGAGGAGGCACCTCGCGGCAGGTGCCCTGGGGCCGGGTCAGCAGGGTACCCCTCCAGCCAGCCAGCAGGCACCACCCATGTGGCAGGTGTAGGGGGTGGGGGTGTCCTGGTGCACAGGGCGGAGCCTGGGATGTGTGTACTTCCGCAGTCCTGGCCCCGTGCCCTGCAGGTGCCGCCTCGCACTGGAGGGGAGTCCCCCACTCCGTCCCCATTCCCCAGAGGGTACAGACACTGTTTTTGGCTTTTTTTTTTTTTTACAAAATGTATTCATCTTCCTTGGAACCGAAAAATAAATCTATGTACAAAAACAGGAAAAGATCAGGCTTCCCTCACCCACTCCCAACCCCCTGCAGATTTCCTCCAGGGTCCCCCGAGATGCACTGGAATTTGAGGAGGCTCCCAGAGGGTCAGGAGAGCACTCCTGCTCTGATGTGGGGCCAGTTTGGCCAGGAAAGGGCGGAGCTTCAGGTTCCCAACAGCTTGGTTTGAGGGGATGGTGCTAGACTTCCAAAATCTGGAGGGAATTGGGGTCCAGAGGGATGGAGATCTCAAATGAGGCCAAGTTCCTAGGTCGAGCAGCGGCCCTGGGGCTGGGCTGGCAGCAGGTGCCCATAAGCTCCTCTGAATTCCTGCTTGTTGTCAGTAGGGCTTGAGTTCTGGGTAGCAGGGGCCGGGATTCCTGGAGAGGAGGCCTATATTCCAGAAGCCCACGCCCGGGCTTTTGGTTCTGAGCGAGGCAACCTGAGCTCAGAGTACAGCGTCTGGAGCTGGTTTCTAAGGGGTGCAGCCAGGCATGCGCCTAGGCTCCCTGGGGGAGTGTGTGGACCCTGCAGGTGGGGAAAGGCCCGTCTCCAGGCTGCAGGGTCCCAGGCCGACAGCTCAGAGACCCTTGCGCTGCCGCTTGAGGAAAGAGAGTGTGTAGTCACTGGGCGTGGACACCTTCTGCTTCTTCATCTGCACCTGGGACTGCGCGGTGAGCTGCAGCTTGATGGCGCTCGAGTTGATCTTGGTGGCCACCAGCAGCTCCTTCATGCCCTTCATCTTCTCACTCTGGAACGTGAGCACTGGACCCTCCGGGGGTGGTGACACAGCAGGCACAGGTACTGGAGTCGCGCTGCTGGCCTCAGGGCCACGGGTAGGGCCAGGGCCAGTGGCTGGGGGCCTCCGGGGTGGTCCCGGCACTGCACCCTGCCCTGTGCCAGGCCCCTTGTCCAGGGCCAGCTTCTTTGGCGGTGGCGGCTCTTCAGGCTTGGACTCCCGCCGGGGTCCTCGGCGACGGCCTTCCCGGGCCTCCTCGCCCCACGGCTCCTCTGCCTCGGCCGCCTCGGCCTCGCGGCTGACAATGCGCACCTTCTGCCGCACCTGGACCAGAGAGGCGGGCAAACTGAGGGGCAGGGTACAGGCCACTGGGCACTCTAGGCCCAGAAGCCACCATCCTGTCTTGGTTGTCAATGTTCTCTGTATCCAAAGAGGATGGACAACAAGGATTCTCTGGTGGCACCTACCTCCACCCGGTGTCCCCAGTCCCTTGAAAACACCCATGCAGGGCCCCTCACCTGTCCCTCAAATCGGCCCAGGGACTGTACCAGGAAGGTGGCCCAGCCCACGTGCAGCACAGGTGTGGGGCTTCCCTCTTCCCATTTGCAGATGCCATCGTAGAAACGCAGTAGGTGGGCGAAGCACTCAGGGTCGTGAAGGGCAGAGCCCTGGCTCTGTGTGCCCTGGGCAGGTCAAGGAAGGCCCAGGTCAGATTCCTAGTGTCCCACTTAGTCTATGAGCCACAGCTCCAGGAAAAGTGAGCCCAGGTGCGCACATTCTGCCCAGATACGCACATTCTGAGAACTTCTGGGTGGTGTGAATGGTTTATGCACAACTAGTAACTTAGAACTTGGTGATTCAAACTTAATCACTGTTGTCTTGAAAAGGCCTCGTGGTCTGTTTCCATTTCTATCAAGAAAACCCTATTTCTACATGGGGCGTCATGAACTGGAACAGACTCAAAAGTAATGGGTTTCCCTGACTAGAGACGTCATTAGCCAGGACTGAGAAGCAGGTCCCATCCCCTACACCTCTACCCCACTGCAACCGAGGGGAACTTATAAAACAGCCTCAAACACAGGTGCAGGACCTGAGCCACAGCAGATACCAAGGTGGCTTTGTCTAACCCGACACCTGGGGCTCGGAGCCTCGCTGGGGTGGGAGGGTGGCAAGCCCTCACCTGCGTCTGCTCCCCCGGTCGCTCCTCACTGGCCTCCAGCAGGCTGGCTGCCTCTTTCAGCAGATTGGGGATGACATCATTGGCTACCTCGAAAAACTCCTTGTAGATCTCCTCGTCCTCCCGGCAGTAGTTGTAGCTGTGAAGACAGGGGCCACGGTGGAACCAGGGGAGTGGCTGCGGTCATGACACTGCTGACAAGAGGCTTGGATTGGGAGAGGAAGAGCCTGGGTGAACTGGGGGTCCAGGGACTGAGCAGGGTACGGGGGATCTGGGGTGCAGGCTTCACGCCTGGGTGGGCTGGGGGCCCTTACTCTTGGATGACAGTTGCTGTGTCGGCCCAGGCCTGCAGGGCCTCACGGACATTGCGATTGCGACAGTGATAGCCGGCCAGGTACATGTAGGGGTAGATGTGCTCATCCCGGTAGTAGGTCTTAGCTGAGGCGATGCCCTGGGGAGAAGGGCAGAGGGGCCACGGTAGCACCTGTATCCCATCAGGTTAAAACCTCGGATCCCACCTGGACTCCTGGTCTGCAAGACTGCTTGCTGATGCCTGGGCCAAACTGCTGATGGTGGGCCCCCCACTTCAAAGATCTAGGGCAGAGCTTTCCCCGCCTCCCCGAGCTCTAGGTTTTCAGACACACAAGCCTAGACCACTAGGAGGAGACCGCAGTGACAGCAGGGTCAAGGTGCACACAGGCCCTGCCACGCTGAGGCTGGAAGCCAGGGCTGGAGGCCACCTGTCCACTTCAGCACCTGGACTGCACTGATGAAGCCTGCATTGCTCCAGCCCTGAGGCAGGACCATGGGGGCAGGGGTTATGTCCATACCCCAGGACTGTGAGCACAGCCAGCACTCACAAAAAGGGGAAGTAAAAGAGAGACCCCCAACACACAGAGTTCCCTCCTGTGAGGCCAGCTCTGAGAGTCCCCAAGTAGAAGGTGACTCAGTCACTGCTGGGAACCTCCCCACTGCATTCCGGGGACGCCTCACCTTGTGGTAGAGGGTGAGTGGGTCTGGCCGGCCAGGTGTAGGCTCCAGCTCTTCCAGATCTGCCAGGTTCCCCAGTGCCATCGGGTACCTGGGAAAAGGCCACTGAGTCCAGGCTGTTACTTAGCCCTCATCCTTGAGACCCAGCCTGGCCCCTTCCCACTACTAACCTTTCCAGGTGTCCCAGGTCATAGAGCAGCCACAGCAATTTCTAAGAGGCCAAAAGAAAGAGATAAGAATTGAGGAAGGTGAGGGGGTAAGGCCCTCAGCCTTTCAGGCAAAGATGGGGTGCAGCACCAGCAGGGACCTCCTGCCAGGTGGGAAGAGTCAGAATTCAGGAGTCAGTCAGTCACTGGAATCAAAGCTGTTTCACATCTGAATTCTGTACTCCAGGTGCCTACGACAGGCTAGACCAGTGATTATCACCCCATTTTACAGAAAGAAACGATGCGGTTTGATGGAAGAAAGGCCCATGGCAACCCAGCAGCCCCTCACCTGCTGCAGCTGCAGCAGCTCCAGTGAGTCAGTGTGCAGGTCAATGGAAGGGTTGATCGCGCACACCATAAATGCCACCTCCATCTTCCGGTCACAGCGCATGTATGATCCTTTCAGGTACAGCCAGCTCTTGGGAGGAAAGCAAGCCAGTTATCTCTGGACAGGCCGCTCAGGCTGTCGTGTCTCAGGGAACAACAGTCAGAGAAGAGCCTTCCTGCTTTCTTTTCCCAACTTCTGAAGGGGGTGACGAGAAAAGAGGCATATGGCCCAAGAACATGGAGTCTCTTGGGGGGCTTGGGCTAGCCTGCTAAAATGTAGTCTGAATCGGGGGGCAGGGGAAGATGCAGTACCCGCTCAGCCACGCCCACGTTGACTGTCTGACCCCTGCGGTCCTCATTGCCCTTGCCATGCCAGGTGACTTCAGCTGTCTGCTCCCCATTGGGCCCAAACACAACCCAGGCGTGGTCCTCTGACAATGCCAGGTGGACATCCCGCAGACCCAGGGCCTGGCAGGCCCCGACCACGGCAAAAGCCACGCCGGAGCTGTCCAGCTTGGTGCCTGTGGGAGGGAAAAATCATAAACTTCGGTTGGGACAGGGCAGTGCTGGGTCCTGCTCCCCGCGGCTCCAGCCACCAAGCCTATGCTATGCCTCAGCTGTGCTCTCCACCCTCCTCCCTTCCCACCCTGCTCAAGCAGAGGCCTTCTCTAGCTCAAACCAGTCTATGTCCTCGTCTCTGGGCGTTTCTTGAAACCACATTACCTATTTCTGTTACCTCAAGGTTTTCCCTAAGGCGTTGCCCTCATTTGATCCTAACACAGGTGAGGGACGTTTCCCAATACTTATCACCTGCTTCACACTGGAATGCTCCTAATTTACTCAAACTCCTTCCCCGCTAAAGTCTGGGGTTGCCTCAGGTTCCTGCCGCAATGGCTTTTAAGGACCTGTGATGCTAATTGGACTGAGCACAAAAGAAAGGGCCTTGCAAACCCCAAACCATAAGCGGCTTGAGAGTGAGAGAGAGAGGGAGTGTTTGTGTGTGAGTGAGTGTGAGTGAGTGTGTGTGTGTGTGTGTCAAGCAATGGCAGGAGGGCAGCTGCTGAGTAGGCAGAAGGTAAGGTTACGACCTGGGGCTCGAGCCTTGCAAATCTTGCTGTGTGATGGATTCCTGCACTCCTTGCCCCTCTCTGGACCTCAGTTTCCCCAACTGCCAAGATGGGGGGGGCTACACCCACTCCACATCAGAGTCTAGTGGGCTCTGTCAACCTGACAGTTCTGGGAAAGGGGTGACCAGGCCTCGTGCCCCTGGCCACCTGCGTGGCTCCAACCTGTGATGAAGCTGAAGAGGGACTGGATGTGGGCCCTGTCCTTGAAGTAGGAGCGGCTGAGGCTGTTCCAGATGACATCAGACACCTTCTTCACCAGCTCCCGGCTGGAGACACCCCCCTCCCGGGGGTAAAGGGACAGATCGACGGCGCCGCGGATCTGGGCGGTGAAGCGAGCATAGAGGGCGGCGATGATGGACAGGTCGGCCACGGGGAAGTAGGTGAGGCCCCCCGGGGGGTCGGGCGCGGGGCTGGGCTGGAAGGTGAGCTCGGGCACGTTTGTGGGGATGACCCGGTTGACGGCCAGGAAGTGCTCCACGAAGCCCAGGACCAAGGACAGGAGCACCAGGTCCGGCTCCTCCCGGCCCAGCTCGGCGGCGAAGAGGCGGACCACGTCGTCGATGGAGCGCAGCGGGAAGAGCGTCTTCTGGGCGGCCTTCAGCCCCATGGCGGCGGGCGGCGGCCTGCGGGCGAGCCCGGGGACCGAGGGTCGGACGGTCGCGGCCGGGGAGCCCCCCGCCCAGGCTCCACCGAGGTCTCCCCACCCTGCTTCGCCGCCCTCTTCCCCCTCTGTTCACCTGCTCGCCCTTTCTGAGATTCCCCTCGACCGAGGCTACAGGGCCTCCTTGTCTCCCGCACCGTGGGACCCCGGCCCCGGTAGGGGTGCACCGCCCCCAGGACTCCGCGGGGAATCCTCAATGGCCGTCCCGCCCCGCCCCCTCGAGCCCTGCTCCCTGACTTCTGGGAATGTGTCCGAAGCGAGCCCCCAGGACAAGCCCCTACACCCCGAAGCGAATCCTGGCCTCCTTCCCCCGCGCCCACCTCCGCGCTTACATCCCACACAAGGCACAGCGGCGGCCGCGACCTGGAGCCTGCTGGGAAATAGAGTCCAGCACCTGGCGCCGCGCAGCCTGCCGGGAAGTTGAGTCCTGGACCCTCTTCCACCCCTCCGGAGGCTTGAAAGGGTAGACAGCTCGGTCAGCCCGCGGAGGCTTATGGGAGTTGTAGTTTCTTTACCCTGGGCCCTCCCGATGTCTCTTCCTTATGTTCTCACGGATTGGTCGTTTCTCCGATGCATTGTGGGAGATGTAGTCCTGGTAGTAAAAGAGCGCTCTCAGGCTCTACTGAGCCTGCGCTAGTTCCTTAAGTGCCGGTAAACGTGCGCTTCCGTGCGCTGGTGTCTTGTAAAATGTGTTCAGCTGTTTGAGTTGGGCTCTTCCTCCATTATTTCCATGAGAAAAGTAACATTCGTCCCAAAATCCGAATTATTTGTAATATTTAAAGAGTGAATTGTTAGGTGCGGTGGAGTCGATTAGGACCCACAGCGACCCTATGAACAGCAGATCTGTCTATCCTGTACCATCCTCACCATTTCTGAAATCCTTAAGCTCATTGCTGCAGTCACTGAAAAAGTGTAGTAGTTTGCTTGGCTCCACAATCAACACTCTTAGTACAGCGGTCAGGAAATTAAAAGACGAATTGCATTGGGAAAGTCAGCTGTCAGAGACTTCTCTAAAGTACTGAAGAGCAACGGTGTCAGTCTGGAGACTAAGCTGCTCCTGACCTAGGCCAGACTCTTTGCAATTACTTGCTATGCATCAGAAAGCTGGACAATGACTAGGGATGATAGAAGAGGAATTGATGCCTTTGAGCTGTGTTACTGGAGAAGAGTATTGAATATACCGTGGACTGCTAGGAGAACAAACAGGTTCGTCCTAAAGAGGGTGAGACCAGGCTGCTACTTGGAGGAAAGGATTCTGGAGCTTCGTCTGACATACTTTGGACATGTTGCAAGGAGAGACCAGTCCTTGGAGAGGGCTGTCATGCTTGGGAGGGTGGAAGAACAGCGCAAGAGAGTAAGACCCTGGATAAGGTGGATTGATTCAGTGACTGGGGTAATGTGGTAGGTCTGTTAGAGACAATAAGATTGGCACAGGATAAAGCAGGGTTTAGGGCTATTGTACACAGGGTCGCTATGAGTCACAGGCACTTAGCAACAGTCTCAAAAGCACCTCCGAGATATTGTTAGGCTGCAGAACAATATTGATATGATAGCACTTATTTTAAGGCCCTGAAACAATACTGACTAGATTTGCGGAAAGATTGGGTGGGATGTAAAAGACCGTTGTAAAAAATGGTTCCAGGGTAACCTGCTTCTCTAGTTACTGTGAATAAACTACTCTTGGCACCTATGTAGTCTGTTGGGGACACATCAAGTTTGAACTTCTAGACCTTTCAGTGGACGTGCTGAATCCAGAATCTAGAGCCCAGGAAGAGGCTTGAGGGAGAGACACAATCAGCTTGGACACAGGTGACCACAATCTGGTCTTCCTAACTTGCCTCCACCGCCTCCCTTGGGTAAGGCAGTATGGTGCTGGACACCTGGAGTTTGCCCCTCTAGATCCTTATCTCCCCTTCTCTTTCCAGGTCTGTGCCCCTCAGGCTGTCCTCACATGCCATAACTGGGCTCCTGGGCCTTTAGCTGCTGGATATGTTTGAGCCGAATGAGGCAGGAAGATTTATTTCCCAGGTTACCTTCTCGTTTGGCACAGCCACCCTCTCTCTTTTTTTTTTTTTTTTAAATTATTTTTGTGTATGTGTACCGTCAAATCTGATCTGACTGGTACAGGAGGAGGTTGTCCCTCCTCCAGCGGAGCATCTGGTGGATTTCAACCGCGAACCTCTGGGATTGCAGTGCAGCTTTTTGCCACTAGGCCACCAGAGCTCCCTACAGCCTTATTTTCTTGTCTTGTTTTCCAGTTTCTGAAAATTTGAGAGGTCTAGTCTCTCATGGTACCTGGTACACTGGTGCCACCCTCCACTCACAGACATCCCCATTTTCTGAGACCCAGGACAGATCCAGGTGGAGAGGCCAGTAGCTTACAAAGCTGACTTTATTGTTTTCTTGCTTCTTCCTAGAGCATCAGCAATGTGGCATTTGAAGAGATAAATACTTCTTTGTCCCCCCCACTTCAGCAGGGGGAGGCTTAATAAAAAATAGTAATATAATAATAATAATGATTGTGATCAATAATAATATGCCCTCTATAGTCCCCTAATACACAGTTGGTTGAAACTTTGAGAAAAAGGTTACCTCTTCCTGGGGAGGCTGGAGTATGTCCACCTTCCCACCAAGGAGTCTTATAAATACCCCCCTCCCATCTCATCCCATCCCACCCCTGCCTAGGAGTAACTTCCCCTTGGACGGTTTCAGTGACAATGTCACTATGCTCATGGAGTCCCCTTTCCTGGTCCCAACCTCACCAAGCTCCTCCCCAGAGAAAAAGGCCCTATATTCCCCTGCCAGAAACACTCTCCTCTTCTTCATCATCTCCTTCCTCTTTCTCTCCTCTGGATCACTTCCATCCCCTTCCAGTCACTTCTCTCTCCACTTCTCTTCATTCCTTTCCCTCTCTTACCTTATTCACCTACAACTGTCTCTTCTCCTCTCTAGCCTCCTGTCTTCTGGCCCCTGACTGCCCACCCTGACCTTGAGCAGAGCCTCAGATATGCCCTATTCTGGCCTCAGGGAGGAAGGAGCCTGATGGTAGACATTCTCCAAGCCCAGGACTTTCTTCCTCATTCACCCTGATGCTGGGGCTTGGCACTGGACATGAGAGCTTTGGCACATTCATCCCTGGAATCCAGGGCTGAGGGTCCCTGGGACACAGGAGGACTTCTTCCTAGCAACCAGGCTGGGACCAGAAGGGCCAAAGTGGAATGAGGCTGGGAGTCAGAGCCCTGTGTCATGGGATCCAGGCAAGCCTCCCGTCACTGCCCAGGCCCTCCCTGAGTCCAATTTTCCATATGTCCGGACCAGCCGGATCTGGCATTCCTCAAGTTCTTGGCTCCCACACATCTCTCTATCCTGGGATTGGGTGAGTTTTGGTGGAAGGTGTTAAAGGCACCTCTCTGAATCAGGAGCTGGAGGGAAGCTCCTGGGCCGTTCTGAGACCTGGAATGGGGGTGGGGGGAGAGGAGGAAATGAGGGTGGGAAGAGACAGGTAGGACTCCTCATGAGGCCAGCACCTGCAGGACCTAGTGAGAACCCTTAAAGAAGGCCAGATGTGAGCAGGGTGGTGCGTGAGTCACTGGAAAGGCATGGGGACTTTCTATTTAATCCTGAAACCCAACTCTTGTTCCCTTGCTCCATTATGCGTTCCATAAGCAAACATGATTTACTCAGACAGGGAGATAAAGACCTGCAGTGCCTTGGGTTTAAACATTTTGGCTAGTCATCAAGTGTTTAAATGTTTGCATCTCCAGGGACCCCTCAGGCCTGTTAGGGATCCTAAGAGTTCCCTGCATGCCAGAGCTGTACTGGGCCCTTCCCGGCCTTCCATACTTGGTTTGTTGTTGTTGTTGTGTACCATCAAATCGGATCCAGCTGGCACAGGAGGAGATAGCCCCTCCTTCTCCAGTAAGGCATCTGGTGGATTTGAACTGCGTGCCTTCGGGATTGCAGCGCAGATTCTTGCCACTATGCCAACAGAGCTCCTTAACCTTCCTGGCCTTCCAACAGCCTCATTTTACGACATGGCAGTTAGGTACTTGCCCAAGGCCATACACTGGAATGTTAGAGCCAGCCCAGTACCAGGGTCTGCTGGTGGGCGACACAGCTACCAATGGTGGGATAACCTCGGCTTGCTGGGCTTCTGGCCTCCAGTCACACTCATAGGCCAGCACAGCACTGAACTGTCCCTCCTTCGGCTGGGGAAGGGATGAGCCCCCACAGCTCACCTGCAATAGGGAGGCTGCGGGGCTCAGCGATCCCTGGGGGCTGGACACGGACTCGCTAGACAGAGATGTGCGAGGTTTCCTTTTCACTGCTCCAGAGGCTGGGGGTTGGTTGGAGGGGTTGGAGACAAAACCGACACAGTCAGTGTTTGAGGGGCTCAAGGGGGAGGAACTGAGGAGGTAGTGGAGGTACTCGAGGCCCTGGGGCTGCCCTTACTTGGGTCCATGTCTCCAGAGAGGATATCGCTGCCCATGGACGCTGGGCGCCGTGATGCCTCCGAGAAGCTGTGGGGTCGCTGTGAGCTGGAGCTGCGAGAACCTCGACCCTTCACTTCTGGGGCCTGTTGGGAAACAGTGTGAACAGGAGACAGCCAAGGCTGCGGGGGTGATGCCGGCACAAGCCAGGCCAAGTGGGGGTAGATGTATCGGAGTCAGTGAGACTGGCTCGGGACAGGGCAGGCTTCAGAGCTGCTGTACACAGGATTGCTATGGGTCGCAGGCGACATGTCACATAACTACAAGGTGTCCCAACACGGCATGGTCAGGGGCGATGGCCAGGCCTCCTGATGGGCACAAGCTCACCAATAAGCTTGTAATTGGCGCATGCTCAGGAGAGGCCTATGATTGGTTCGGTCTCACAGAGGAAGTCTATGATTGGCTTGCGTACAGCAGACAGGCCAATGATTGGCCCGATCGCACCAAGCACGCTTCGGATTGGCTCAAGTCACCAGCTGGGCCTGTGATTGGCTTTGGCGTACTCACTGTAGGCAGGTCCTTGGCACTTGGCTTCCCGTCAGTGGGACCCACGTGGACGAGGTGGTTGAAGTTGGTTGGTGGTGAGATGAGCTTGGAACGCACGAAGGGGTCCTTGAGCATTTCCCTGCGGGCACCGCAAGTATTGAGAGGGCGGCAGTGAGGGGCACACCGCCTTCACCCCTGCCCCACCCCGACATGGCGCAGGTGTGTGGCGCAGGTGTGTGGTGCACGCGTCCGCACCTGCGCTGTTGCTGTCGCTGCTCCTCCGACACGCGGAAGAAGAAGCGGCGCTTGCTCTTGGTGCGGAACAGCTGGCGCCAGCTGTTGTCTGTGAGGTCGGGGATGTCGAACTCGTCCTTCTCTGTGGGAGGGACAACACTAGACAGCGCTCCCAAGTCTCCAGGAACCTCCCCCCCACTATCACGCGGCCACACATCTGCACCCGTTCAACACACTTTATTGTAATGTGCACACATTGCTCACCTGCCAGCCGGTTCCTGAGGTAGGTCAGGCGGACCTTCTCGGTGCCATAGATGAACAGGGAGCCTTCTGGATTCAGGGGTCGCACCTGAGCCAGCAGAGAGAGAGAGATCAGGCCAGGCCACCCCACTGCAACCTGATCCCAGTCCAGCCCTGGGGGATAGGGAGGCCCTCACCTTCTTGAGGGGCACAGTCTGCACCCATTCTGCTCTTCTCACGTCAAACACATCAATGGAATTCTCACTGAACACTGTCAGGTAGGGCGCTGTGTAACCTGAAGGGTAGGAGGTTGTGCTGTGCAGTCTTGGGCAAGCCAGGCACCTCTCTGAGCCAGTGTCCTCCCTTGCACCAGGGGAACTCAGCCACCTCACAGTAACTTCCCTGTCTTCCTCAGAACCAGCCTGGTGGCTCTGCTCAGCTTCTAGGGTGAACCAGAGACAACAGTCTTGGGCACTCCACACAAGCAGGGCATGTTCTCCAGGATTCCTGGCTTCCCTCTCTGCTCTCAACAGCTCAGAGAACTGCTACCACCTCTGACTGACAAGTGAGGATATAGGAACCGAAGAATTCCATGTCTGGTACAGCCAATCAGGCCAGGCAGTGAGCCAAGATCACAACCCAGCAGCCAGTCCCAGGACCAAGTGGGAGTGTCTATTATTCACAAGCCAGAGGTCCTATCCCAGCAAGACCAGAGTAGAAACACCAAAATCCCTGTTTTCCAGGACTTACCATCACTCTATTTAATAGTGACTGCTAGACCCCTTCCTTACAGCTCCATTCATTCATTCATTTCCCAAACATCCCAAGCCCCTGGGTGCTGACCATGGAGGAAGGAAGCAGGCCAGGCCATTCAGCTGGTCCCAGTGCACCAAGCTTATTCCAGTAAACACTGTAAGTGAGGACTGAACAGAGGTGGCAGGGCCCTAAGACAGTGGAGGGCAGGGCGGGCAGACTGAAAGCTACAGTAAAGACAACAGAAACCATGGCCTCAGGTTTGAAGTATCTACCAGGCTCCAGGCCAAGCTGATGCTGGAACTGGGCTTGGTTAAGAGTTTGCCAGATATAAAATGCTCTGGAAGGATAGAGGGCACCAACCGTGTGACGTGGAAGAGAGATTCATGAAAGCAGCTGAGGGGCATCCAGGGTCAGGCTATGGGAGGGCCAAGCCCAGGAGTCAGGGTGGGATGCTGTCTTGCTCTATCAAGTATGTCACACGGTGCCTAGAGAACACCCCATCCCAGCCTCAGCCCCAGGCCTTACCCCATCCTGTGGGGGCCGCTGGCCATAGCAGCTCAGGGCCTCGGGACTTGCGGCCAGCACCATCCACGTACACACCAGCAGCAGTGAAGAGTAGCAAGAACTCACTGAGGCTGAGCTCCACGGCGCCCAGCGCCTCGCCCAGGCCTCCACGGCCTGGGGGCAGCTCCTCAGGCACCAGTCCAGCCCCTAGTGCCAAGGGCGCAGCCTCATTGAGCAGTGGGTACAGGGTGAAGGCTCCGGCCGCGCCCACACACAGCCGGTCACCCAGCAGCCCCATGCTCTGCACAGGTGCGGGGGCCTGCAGCTCTCGGATGCGGCGCTGCCAGGGCCCTGGGCCAGGCCCCAGTTGGTAGCAGAGCACCTGGCGCTTGACAGCTACACAGAGCACCGGGGTGCGTGCCTGCAGGATGCGCCCTGCCGCCAGCGCCTGGCAGCCGCGTGACTCGGGGATCTTGGCGCCTGTAGCTTCCGCGTTCTCCAGCTCAGCCAGGGCGAAGAGGCGCACGCTGGGGCCCCGGCCACACAGGGCCACCAACAAGCCTGAGGTGGGGCTCACGGCCAGCTGCTGCACCCGCCGGCACTCGCCCACCTGGAAGATGTCTGCAGGGTTGGTGAGGACAGGGTGTCACTGCTGGTGGGCTAGAAGCGGCCCACTGGTCCCCTTCCTGTCCCCTGGGGCGGTCCCTTCCACGCCCACCCCGGTCCGAGGGTAGGTACCGTTACTGTGCAGATGGATCACAAAGAGCCCCTCCTCGGTGCCCAGAGCGAGCCGCTCCTGGTCTGGGAGAGGGAAGGGGTCAGAGGGAGACCTGGCAGGTGGCTACCCTCTCTGGGTCTCCATTCTTCTTCAGAAAATGGTGACTGTGACCCTGCCATCCTAACCTCAGGAGACCCTTCTTTCCCAGAGTCTGGACTGGTTTTTGTGGAGGAAAGCTTGGAGCTATGGGATTCACAGTAAATCACTTCCCTTCTCTGAGCCTCACTTTCCCCTTGCGTAACGGCAGGGCAGTGAAAAGGGCAGATCTTCTGTGAAATGGATATAGCAGCAACTTATTAATAAGCTCAGACACAGCAGTCTGAGAATGGCACAGACCTGGGCAGTATTTCTGTCTGTAAAACCAAGAACTCAACAGCGCCTAACAACAACAGGTATAATCACGGCACTTTATTCACAGAGCTGCCGTGGTGACATACATGGTTACACACAATGATCCCTGCTCAACAAGTGTCTCATCTTTTCTGGCTCTGAACAACCTCAGGGACCCACAGACTCTGCAGAGAGAGTCCTAGGTTCCCCAGGGGCAGAGGCTGCCTCAGGGCCTCAGCTGCCAGTTGGAGATCTCCTGGAACACTGAGCTGCCGCTCTGTACTGGGATGGAAAAAAACCAAACTAAACTGGTTACCATGGAGTCAACGTAGACACATGCCGACCCCATATGTACACAGAATAGTCATCTTTACAGGAGCAGATCTTTGACCTTTTCTAATGTGATGGTGGGTGGGTACAAACCAACAGCCTTTACGCTAGTAACTCAAGTCACTGGCATCGAACCGGAATGAACTCATAGCAGACCCTCACTCTGAGTTATGGCCCTGGTGAAACTCCAGAAAGTTCTCAGAGGTTATAAATCACAAGAAAGGGGACTGCCCATCTCTCTCCTATGCAGCAGGTGGATTCGAACCACTTGCCTTTGGGTTGGCAGCACAGCTTTCAACTCACCAGGCCCCCAAAGCTTAATGTTAATAGTTGAATACAAACTGGATCACCCAAGCAGCCACTGGGTTGAATTAAAAAACAGAACCAAACTACCTCCCATTAAGTAAATTCTGACTCAGGATAATCTCCCACTGGGTTTCCAAGACTGTCAGTCTTAACGAGATCACTCATCTTCTCCCGCGGAGGAGCTGGTGGTTCAAAGCATTAGCTTTCCAGTTAGTGGCTCTGTACTTATCAGCGCTACAGGGATCCCACAAGGTTAAATAAAGCGCAAACCCACTGCCTCCAAGGTGGTCCTGACTCAGTGACCCTTCTTCAGGTCTCCAAGGCTGTAAGTGTTCATGGAATGAGACACCGATGGAGAAGCTGGTAGATTCGAACTGCCAGCACTTTGGTTAGTAGCCCGATATGTTATACACTGTACCACCTCCAAAGCTCATGCTTTTCCTCAGACCTCAGAATCTGATCATATTAGAAATAGGATCATGGCAGATTTAATTATTTGCAGTGAAGTCCTACTGGGACAGGGTAACACCGTAAGCAAAGACTGGTGTCCTCAAAAGAAGAAAAAAGTGACCTAAAAATGTAGGGGGAGGACATTACGTGATGACAGAAGCAGAGATAGTACTGATGCGTCTACAAGCCTCAGAACACCAGGCACTGCCGGCAACAACAAAGCTAAAGCATGGGGCAGATTCTCCCCACTAAGCGCCCCCGTCGCCCCTCAATCTCAGACGTCTGGCCTACAAACGGGGAGGGATGGATGTCTTTTGCTGAAGCCTGCCAGTCTGTGGAAGCCTGTGAGGGCAGCTGCTGGTCTCCAGAGACACCGCAGGTTAGGAGAGCAGGGGTCGCACAGCTGCTCACGGACACCCAGCTGACAGCAAAAGTGCCAGGACCAGAACCCTCGTTTATCTGTTTCTACAGCCTTTGCTCCTTCCACTCAAGTGAAGGTCTCTTTTTAAAAAAAGAAACTGAAGCACAGAGAAAAGGAGCGATAAGAAGTGGCCCCTCCCAAAGCCAAGCTCAGAGAGGGGCCTGGGAGGGCAAGGCCCCAGCTTCCTGCTTCTGACTGCAGGGACCAGGCAGCGATGGCCCGGTGGGCAGTCCCTCCCCACGGTCCTGAGGGCTCACCGATGATGGCGGCACAGAGTGCATGTGGCAGCAGCGGCAGCCCGTTGTCATAGGCTTCCTTGAGCGTGTACACGGGCAGGGGCCGTGGTCGCATGTCCTGGAGCAACCGCTGCAGCTCGCCCAGCACCTGCAGCCAGCGCTCCCGCTCGCTCGGGCTCTCCGCCAGCAACAGCACGTTGCACATGGTGGGTGGCACTGCCAGCTGGGAGGCGGTCACCTGTGGGTGGGCACCCAGGCTGGAGGGGTCGGGACAGAGAACCAGCCATCCTCTCCACCTCCCTCTTCCCGCCAGGTGCGGTACCCTCATGCCTGGTGTGAGGCAGGTGCAGGGCACAGCCGGAGGAAGGGAGAGCTACCGAGCAGCACAGGACAATGAGAGGGAAGGGGAGGGGGCAAGTGGACTGCGGGGCTCTAACCTACACTTAGAGGTGCTAAGAACTAACAGAGGGACAAGGGGTGTGACCAGGAGTTAGTCAAGATGTGTGAGGAAACAGGGGGCTGAAAACGCAAACTCTGATTGCTGTAGACTTGGACCTGGCCCGTGGGGGACCCTCAGTGGGTTCCAAGGCTGCAGTTCGCACTTGCTGTCGTTATGAACCATCAAGTCGGAACCAACTCATAGCTGACCCTCCAATGTGTTTTCAGAGGCAGTAAATCAAAACCAGAGGATCTAAACTGTGTGCCTTTGGGCTGGCAGTACGATTCCTTACCACCAAGCCACCAGAGCTCCCTGTAATTCATATAAGAAGACTGCCTATCTGTGTCCCTCAGAGCTGCTGGTGGATCAGAATCACCAGAGGGGCGCCGAGAAACTCCCTATGAAGCGGACCACCAGGACTCCATGGGACCAAGGAGAATGGCAATTCCAGGCAGAGGTAATGAAACATGCAAGGGCCAAGAGGAGCAGGCTGCATGGGCGGACTGGGACACAGGCGGCACAGCACAGCCAGCACGGGGGAAGAGACTGGAGGATTAGGTTGGAGGTGAGGAGCTACAGGCGAGCCAAACAAGGCAGGACGCAGCCAGAGTCTTGCATGGGAAGTTCACAGCAGCTATCGGGCAGGCAGAAGATATAAGCACAAGAGAGGTCCTTGCAAGAGTGGAGGTGGCAGCTAGGACTAGATAAAGGTGACCAGAGTGGGGCCAGCACAGGGAGGGGATGGAAGCCCGGCCAGCCCAGTCAGGGACTCACCCTGAAGATGCGTGGCAGGTCTCTGGTTTGGGCGTGGATAACATCAGAGGCCAGGACGGGGGTGGCTGAGAAGTGGGGGTCCCTGGGATGTGCAGGAAGCAGGTCAGAGATCATATGCCCTGGCCACTCCCTTCACCCCCCACCTAGTCTCCTGCCCCATGCCATTGTCAGGTGTCCACCTCAGATCTAGTGCCTGTAGGAGGGCCCCACTGGCAGGGCTGAGCCGAGGGTCGGGGGCATCAAAGAGCAGCAGGCGTGAGTCGCTGAGAGCAGCAAAGACCCGCTGCCAGCCGCGCCGGACACCTGAGGGCCGGGGCACCTGGGAACAGGTGTGGACAGGTGTGAGTGAGAGGGGTGCCCATACAGGTCCTCAGCCCCTCCCTTGCTCCCTACTTCCCTCTCCAGCTCACCGACAGGAAGCCCTCATAGGCTGTGCCCGTGCCGGTCTCGGGGTGCACTCCCAGGGCGGTGCGGAGGAGGTCAGGGGGCACAGGGCAGAGGGGGGCCTGTGGGGCACACGCTGAGTGGCAGAAGTAGCCACAGGCTGTGGGGGAAGCAGGTGGTCAGGCGAGTGACCTGGAGGGCCCCTCCATCAGGGGCTTCCATAAGAAACACTCGATGGTGGGAGGTGGCTCAGGATGCACAGAAGGGTCCCCCCACTCCCCAGCATTTGTTCCCTGCACCTATAGAGGGCACGGTTCTCACCTTCGCAGGAGAGGCCCTGGCGGCTCAGCCCCAGCATCAGTGAGGTGCAGCGGAGACACTTGGTGGGGGACGGGAAGGTCCGGGGACGCAGTATGTGTGAGCCAGGCTGGGGAGGATGGGACACATCATCACCCCGGGCCTGCCATGGTTGCGCTGGCCCCACCCCGACCCTGCGATGCCTGGGGTCAAGGGCTTGGAGCTGGACTGGGGTGGCAGGATCTGTAGCCTTCCTCAAACTCACTGCACCTGCGGCCGCTGTTCCGTGCCCTCTACCCACCCGCCGACTCAGGCCATGACAGAGAAGGATCCCTAGGAGACAGAAGCAGCTGCCCAGCCCAGCCCAGCCCAGGTCACAGAGGAGCCCCACTGGTCCCTAGACACAGGACAGACTATCAGTTGTCCTATTGGGTGGGGCTGGCGGAATGGGAGTGAGCAGGGTGAGGCCTACCACCCTCGAGCACTGACCTTGGTGGGAGGACTTTCGGCCAGAGGTGGGGCAACAAAAGGTACCCGGGGGAACACAGACTGTAGGGTGGAAGTTAACGGACAAGTGAGAGGTGTGGGCAGAGTGGGGGCCTGGCCTCCCGCTCAGCAACTCTGCCTGCCTCACCCCCATGCGCAGGCTCCGGCGGCCCTCTGGCCTCAGCTCTGGCTCTGGCCCTGGCCTTGGGACCTCTCCCGAGATGCCAGGGTCCTTGGTGGAATCCTTCTGGTATAAAGGGTGGGTTGGGGCAGTATCAAGGACCTGTCCCGTTCACACCAATTCCCCCAACTCCACCCAGCAGCCCTGCCCTGGCCCCTACCTCTGAGCTCCAGAAGGACAGGAAGGGAAGCAGGGAGTTTGATGGCTTGGCATCTGGAAACAGAGGTCAGGGTCATGGGGTTGGGGGTCCTGAGGAGCCAGGGTCAGCGGGTGCCTCATCCCTTCTCCACTGGGGAAAAGAGGCGCTCAGAAAGGACAGCACACAGGTGGTAGGGGACTGGTTGGCAGGCCCGGCAGCAAACTCCTGTCTGCACTCTGCGGGCTCCTGAGGGACCCCCTTGGTGACGGTGAAGCTAGGGAAGCATGTGGACGGTTGGTTACTCACCCCCCGGCCCACGCGCCTGGAGCTCCTCACGCAGTGCGGCCACTTCCTGCCGCAGGTTCTGGTTCTGCCTCTCAGCCTCCTGCAGGCGGCTGGCGAAAGACAGGGCTCGCTCGCCACAGGCTCCCGTGTGGCCCACCGCTCCTCCCCAGCACCCACCCATGCCACCTGCCTGCCTCACCTCTCGAGCCGCAGCTGGGCCCCCTGCACCTGCACCAGCCGCTCCTGCAGGCCCTGCTTGGCCCGGATCTCAGCCTCCAGGGCTGACTGCAGCTCCAGCCGGGCCGAGGCCTCCATCTTCTGCAGCCGCCGCGCCTTCCACTGGTGGTCCTGGTGGGTCCCGGGCACCCACGTAAGACGCCTTCCCGCCACAGCGTGCTTCCTCCCACGTGCCCAGCAAGCTTAATGCCCACTTGGCCACTGATCCACTGAGCCGGGGAGCTTACGGCTGCACCATGTGCCCTTCCCTCAGGCGTCCCAGGCTCACCAGTGGCCGGGCAGGGAGCGTCTGGGTGCCCACATTCCGCAAAGACTCCAGCTCCTCGGCCATCTTGGTGGCCAGGGCCTGCAAGTATCCCCTCGAGACCTTCTCATCATTCACCCTGGACAGGAGGAGCTCAAGGTCAGGGGCTCGCCCTCGGGAGGCCTTGGATCCAGGCTCAGCCCAGTGGGACCCACCAGCTGAGGATGTCCGAGATCTGGGCCTCCCAGTTGCTCTCTGTCTCCCTCTGCTTCCCTTCTAGCCGCTGCTTGCTCTGCTGTTCCCGCTCCAGTTCTGCTGCCAGCTGTGGGCAGACAGGAAGGAGAGTTAGCGCCGGGGCCTGTAATCCTCCGCCTGCCCGTCCTGGGGCACTCCAGCCAACCTAGCAGGGAGCCACTCCGACCAGCCATCCACCTGTCCAGCGCCCCACCCCTGTGCCACTGTCGGTCTGTGTGCCCTGCTCACCCTCTCCTGCTCCAGGCTCAGCCGGTGGTTCTCCTCCTTCAGCCGGGACAGGATCTCTTCCTTTCCACTCAGCCTGCGGAAGGGAGGCCCGGGGTGAGCCCCACGCTGGCCTCTGCCCCAGCCCACCCTCGCCAGTCACCTGGCTCACCCGTGACCACAGGCCTGCCCACGCTGGCCTCTGCCCCAGCCCACCCTCGCCAGTCACCTGGCTCACCCGTGACCACAGGCCTGCCCACGCTGGCCTCTGCCCCAGCCCACCCTCGCCAGTCACCTGGCTCACCCGTGACCACAGGCCTGGTCCAGCTGCACCTGCAGGGCAGCCACCTCCTTCTGCAGCTGGGCCTCCTGCCGCTTGCGCCCTGGTGGTCCTGTGCCATTGGCTGTGTGGGCAGTCTTGAGCACACAGAGACAGGTATTAGGGTCTGGAGGCCCCCAGTGGGCTCACTCTGAGGGCGGAGCCCGTGGGCAAGGGGGCATGGCCTCACTACCTTGACCCGGGCAGACTCTTCCTCCAGGTTCTGCTTCCACTGCACCTGCAGCTGTGTCACCTCCCGGTTCAGGGTGACCACCTGGGCCTCCAGCTGTGATGGGGGGCAGAGGTAAGAGACACTGACTGTGTCCACCTTGGCCCTTCTCCCTGACTTCCCACAGACTCCGAGGCTTTCCCAGGTAGGGAACGAACCAGGAGGCAGCTGGCAAATCCCAATGCCAGCCGCAAGAGGGATGTAAATGCACATGGTGCCCCTAACCCTTTCTCCAAACACTGGAGGTCAAAAGGCAGGGCCTCCTATTCCCCTGGCCAACCCCGCCCAGCACCCACCTCACTCCGAGCATCTCGGGCATCCTCCAGCTGGGTGCTCAGGGCCTGCACCTGGCTGCCCATGGCCACCTCTCTCTCCTGAGCCTCCTGCAGCTTCCGGACCAGCTCCTCCTGCCGTCCTCGGGCCTGGCACAGCTCCTCCTCCAGCATCTGGAACCCCGCCTGAGCCTCGGCCAGCTCCTGGGAGGAGAGGCCGGGGTCAGCACCGGGCTCTCCTTACAGTACGGTCACTGACTCCGCGCGTCTCACCTGGCACAGCTGGTCTCTCTCCTGCTGCAGGGCACTGGCCTGGGCTGCGCTGCCAGCTGGGGCCCCATCAGTCTGGCACAAGGGGGCCTTGTCTCGTAATACTTCTGCCAAGGACAGCCGTGAGGACCACGTATTAGGACTACCCGGCCACAGCATCTCTGGGAACTGTTGTCCCTTCTGGGGAGGGGAACCCTCTCCCTGCCTTCCACATGCAGCCTCAGAGACTTCTGGTCCTTCCTGAGGCCACACAGCATGCACTGAGCAGGGGCTGGACTAGAACCCCAGTCCAACTCCGGGTGTGCTGGTGGAGAGCTGGGGCGGTGGGAAGGGGTACCTGATAGCTTTTCCTGTAGGGTCAGCACTTCCTTCCGTAGGTGCTCCAGCTCCTGAGGGTCTGAGGGAGCCTGGACCTCTGGGCAGGGACACGGTCCCGCAGGTGAGTGTGGTTAGCTCTACAGCAGCGGCCCCCAGTGGGTCCTGCCCACCTGGTTCCGCCCACCCAGCTTGGCTGTACCTTGGAGCTTCCGGCTCAGCTCTGCCTTCTCCTCTTCTGCACACATGATCCTCTGCTGCAGGGCAGCCAACTGCTCTGATGGGCCCATGGGACCACGGCTAGGGGAGAAGGGGGTCACCCAAGAGAGTAAGAGCCACTCCCTAAAGTTTCCGCCCCACCCTCTCCCCTGCATCCAATCACTCCTTCAACCAAGCGGCACCCACTTTGCACTGGCTCTGAGGTAGCCTGGTGAGAGATGGGATGGGGTATGAAACAGGTCAGTCCAGAGCCCACAGCGGAGGAGGCAGAAGAAATTGGGGGGGGGGGGCTCTGAGGAGGCATGTAGAGAGCTGCTGCTCAGCAGCCCAGAACCCTGGTTCCTTGGCCCTCAGGCCCAAGTTCAAGGTCCAGCCCCAGCCTGTAAACAATGACTGAAGGAATCTGAGTCCTAAGACAATGAGGCAGTGACACCAAGGTCTCTTCTGAGGACTGTCAGGAGGACTCAGTGGTTCGGGCTCACAGTACAGGCTTGACAAGTGCAGGTGACTCTGGGCTACTTCCTTACCCAGGCCCTGGATGAATGCCAGTCACCCTTGGGTGCCTCCTGGCCTGAGACGTCAGGCAAGGCCCATAGACTAAATCAGATCGAAAGCATCAGGCCCATTTCACAGAGGCCAAACAAGGTTCAGGGAGCAGTGACTTCTGACTCTGTGACCAGAATGTTCTGTCTGCTGTAAAGGTCACAGTGAAGGTCAGAGAATGGGATGCACCGAGGGCCCTGAGGGCGCCGGGGTAGCCCTCCCCACGGCTGAGAGTACCCGTCCTGCTCAGGCATAGGTGGGTTCTTTTCCTAGCACCCCACATGCCAGGCAGCAACAGCTTCCCCAGGAGGTACTCAAGACTCAGAGAGTGAGGGCCAGACTCACCTGGCAGAGGTATAGGTGAAACCCACAAATGGCAGGTGGTGGCCCGAGAAGGTGCCGTGGGAGGGCGGCGGGAGGGTCCTCTGCAGGAGGAGGGTAATGTTTGGATTAGCAGGCACAGGTTGCGGGAGGCACAGGTCTAGGAGAGGCCTGAGGATCAGAAAGCCCCCTGGGCCAGGCAAGACCACCCAGCTATCACCCAGCCTCCTCGGGCACACACTGGGGTAATTAATGTGGGAGGGGTGCCGTTTAAAAACCCAGAGACAGCCCCCATGGGCCTCTGAGGGTGTGGAGTTCAGGGGATGCTGGGAGTTTCCCTCTTCACGCTAATTCTGGCTAAGGGTATGACATCTGGGGCCAAAGGTTCCTCACTTGGCGCAACCTGATTGCAGCCCAGCTCCAGGGGAGCCATGACTCCCATGAGCCCCTGGGACCTACAGCCTGACAACTACATAGGAACTTTCTAGAAGGTTCCCTAGGCAGATGAGGGTCCAGACAGCCCACCCGCTGTAGTAGAGCTGGCCACTCACGGGGTGGTTGAGGGTGTCATCATCCACGTCAAAGTTGGAGGTGTCCATGGGCCCCCGGAGTTCAGGGATGTAGGGGGCAGTGCTGGTGGCCAGCTGCTCCCAGTCCACACCTTCAAAGAAGGGGTGGTTCCGGAAGTCGTCGAGCCCACCTCGGCCCAGACGGTCCTCCTGACGGCACAGCAGCTGACGGATCAGGTCTTGGGCACTGGTTGGCACATCGGGCACATCTAGGGGGAACTGCAGGTGCTCCTGGGGGCCAGATGAGGGAGGAGTGTGGGTCCGGGATCCCACTGCCCACAGCAGGAGTCTCCAGCCACCCTGCTGCCCACCCCAGAGCCGCAGAGCCCAGTGGCCAGACCTCATGGTTCATGATCTTGCCGTAAGTTTCCACCAAGGACTCCGCATAGAAGGGCGTCTCCCCAAAGAGCAGCTCGTAGGCACAGACGCCCAGCGACCACCAGTCACACTGCGGGCCATAGTGGCCCTTGCCCTCCTCCATGGCCTGCAGGATCTCAGGGGAGATGTAGTCCGGTGTTCCTACGGCCACTGAGGAGTCCACCTGGGGGTGGTAGTGTTGAGGTCACTGTCAGGACAGCCTGGGACCTGGCAAGGCCTCCAGACCAGTCACTATGGCTTGGAGCTGGGTCAGACATCCACTCCCTAGGGCTCCGCTGGCCTGGTGCCCCCAACCTGGGGTACGGGCATAGCCGTTTGCTCCTCTGGGAGATCAAGGCCCCCCTACCGTGCCTGGTGCCTCCCTTCCCCAGGAGCTCCCACTCGGCGACAGGGTCCTCACCATGCCACTGTTGTTGAGACGCAGGCATGACCCGAAGTCGGCCAGGCGGATGTGTCCATTCATATCCAGCAGGATGTTGTCTGGCTTGACATCCCTGGTGGGAGGAGGGAGGAGGCTGAAGGTGTGTGGAAATGGGAGTCCAGCACACGCCCAGGTGTGCACACCTGTATGCTGATGTGTCTGCGTGTAGGCTCACGGTTGTTTCTGAATGCACACCTCAACAAGGTGTATGATGCGTGGCAGACAGGAAGCTGAGGCCCCATCACGTGGACCCCTGAAAGCAGCAGAGTGGCTTGGGGACACAGGGGTCAAAGGGTCCCACCTGCCAACCGAGCCCCTTGAGGGAGGCGGTGACGTGTGCCGACACTTCCATGTCTGGTAAAGGGGCAGCAGCCCCATCGGGGACATTTTTGGAATGAGGATTACAAGGAACCTGGGTGGGGTGCTGGGTGTGTGCTCAGCAAACATCACCCCCCCCAGAGCTCTGGGCAGAGGCTGTGCAGGGCAGTGGGGGCACTGAGGACCCACCTGTGGACGTAGCCGAGCTGGTGCAGCGAGTCAATGGCCAGCACCATCTCGGCCAGGTAGAACTGGGCCAGCTCAGGCGGGAGGCGGTCCTCGAAGCGGCTCAGCAACGTGAGGAGGTCGCCCCCGGCGTAGTAGTCCATCACCAGGTACTGTGGGGCACGTGGGACAGCGGAAGCCCCAGGGTCACTATGCTGCAGGAACACTCTCCTTGGCCCTGGCGTGCTGCCCCCGCCTACCTCACAGCGGTCTCTGAAAGACCCCATAACTGGTGGGAAGTGGTGATGGTCCCAGCGGGAGGGTCCTTGTCCTGGATCCAGGGATGGCTCCCACCCCGATTGTCTCAGGTGACTCCCTTCCCACCTGCGCCCGAGGGGACCCTCACCAGGTATTCCTCATCCTGGAAGGCGTAGTGTAGAGTGGTCACCCAACGGCTGTCCCCCTTCACCAGGACATCTCGCTCCTCCCGGAAACAGGCCGTCTATAACAGGTTTGGAGAGAGGTCCAGTAACCCCTTGGTCAGTTCAGGGCATAGAGGAAAGTGCTAGAAAAGGTCTAGGAGGCTAGACGAGAGCTGGAGCTCTGCTCTGTCCTGGGCTGGCCTCATGGGGACCTGAGTCCTGCTTTATATTGCTGGGCCTCAGTTTTACCATAAAGAAAATGGGAATACTCTGCTGTTAAAGCAGCTTGCCATGAGGAAGGGCTAGGAGCTGGCTGGCAGATGTTGAGGGTGGTGACTTGTGCCCGTTCAGTGGTGATGCCAATTCCCTTCCTGCATGCCCTGTTCATATTCCCACCCATGTTGTGGTACCACCCCATCGATCTTGGGGTACTATCCCATCGACCTCAGTGTACCATCCCATCCACTTCGGGGTACCACCCCATCCACCCATCAACCTCGGGGTATCACCTCATCCATCTCAGGGTACTATCCTCATCCACTTCAGGGCACCACTCCATCTACCTCGGGGTACCATCCCATCAACCTCAGGGTACCACCCCATCCAGGGTACCATCCCCAGCCGCCTCGGGATACCACCCCATCTACCTAGGGGTACCACCTCATCCATCTCAGGGTACCAGTCCTATCCACCTCAGTGTATCACCTATCGACCTCAGGGCACCATCCCATTCATCTCAGGGCACCACCCCATCTACCTTGGGGTATCGCCCCATCCACCCCCAACCATCTCAGAGCATCATCGCACCCCAAACTGACCTCGGCCCGCTTCAGCATCTCCCACTTGTGCAGCATTTTCATGGCGAAAATCTGTCCACTGTCCTTCTGCCTCACCACAGCAACCTGCGGGCAGGGATGGGGACCGGTCAGTCTGCCTGGGTGCAAGCAACCTCCCCACCCCCACCCCCAGCATGCAGCTCACCTCCCCAAAGGCCCCTCGGCCGATGACCTTCAGGATCTCAAAGTCCTCTCTCTGCAGCTGAAGGTCCTTCACCTTAGACACGAAGGGGCTGGCTGAGGAGGACACAGAGTGGGGCTAAATGAGGAAAGACTGGGGTGGCCACTGCAGAGATGTCCCCCCCAGGGAGTATGGAAAGGAGGTGTCGGTGGCAGTTCCACCAACTGCCTTGTCTGCACACCTCCCAGATCCATGGCTCCTGGACCTGCTGGACTCGGGCGGGCTCGACCAGGGGCTGATGGGACTTGTAGTCCTCTCCAGTCTGGGGGCCTAACTAGCCAAGTCCCTCTGAAGTGAAGGGGGCACCACTCCCAGCTCACTGTTTCTTGTTGTTGTGTACCATAAGTCGGAAGTGACTCATAGCTGACCCTCTGGCGGGTTTTCAGAGGCAGTAAACCTCATGGAGACTGCCCAGATTTCTCCTTTGGAGCAACTGGTAGATTTGAACCACGTGCCTTTGAGTTGGCAATACAACTCCTTACCATTAAGCCACCAAAGGTCCCTAGAATGCTTGGCCCCTCAGAAGTGATAAGCCAGGCCATCCAGGAAACTGAGAGGATGACACATATTCATTGTCCTCAGAAGGGCTTCTCTAAGCAAGGACATGTGGGATTGGGTCCAGAGACCCTGCAGGCCACCCAGAGGGCAAACAGGACGATGGTTCCGTAGGCCCTGTACGGACAGGCACTAGGCTCCCCAGCTGAGGCCTTGGAAGCCTGAAGCCTCCATACCAGTCTGCCCAGCTTCTCACAAGACTCGAGAACAGGGCCAAGCAAACCTTAGCCTGACGCAGCCACTGGCACCTGTGGGCGTGCGTGCGCACACACGCAGGATCCCGCCACACTGGACCAGCCCTACAACTCCGTGTCTGCCCTCCTCCCTGGACTCAACCTGAGCCTGGCCAAGAACCGCCTCCTTCCCCACCCTGACACCTCGGCAAGGGCCATCCCTGGGCCTCTTTTCCCCAGGAGCAGCCACACGCCTGTCGGAAGGGCTTGGCAACTTAGGGAAGCAGTGTGACGGGCTTGGGAGCAGTTGAGATCTGCCTCTCTGCCTCAGTTTCCCCTGCCAGGAGGTAAACTCCCCGCTAGCTGGGCAGGCCTGTGGGTGGGGCAGAGAGCTGCTCCACAGGTTTATCAGGCAGAACCCCACAGCGGGGGCGGTGTGGAAACCTCCTCACAGACATTTATTGTCTCTTTCCCAGGTCTCTGCAGGGATCTAAGGAGATGCAGCCTCCAACCTCAGAGGGGGAACCTGGGCCAACGCTGCTGCCCACCACTCAGCTTAGGCCAAAGTCCAAGTCACCAGTTAGGAAGGTCCGGACCCCCAGGCCACACTGCTCACCCCCCTTGCCTTGCCACAGAGGAGGGGGGCGCTGGGCAGGAACAGGAGCAAGCTAGGGCAGGAGAGGAGTGAGTCACCACCCTCGGTTACATCGGGAGATGTCAACAGACAGGCCCCCACACTGGGGTCTCAGGTAGAGGTGCCAGAGATGGACAGGGAGGGTCACACAAATGTGTCACAGGCAACACAATCTGACACATAGCACATAAGCCAGCGTCCTCTGACTGCCCTCACCCAGGAGGAACGAGCCAGGCTGCGGGCAACTTCACCGGCACATCAGGGCAGTGGGCCTCCAGCTGTGCCCAGCCAGGCCCAGTGCCTGCCCAGAGCTCAGGAGCGCCAGGAATGCTGGTCGCCCACTGGGCAAACATCAAACTACCCCCGCCTTCCAGGCCAGCCCCTGGCTCTTCTCCCACAGGCCAGCCAGGCGTGACCAGGGAGTCCTCAGGCTGGTACCAGTGCCCACACTGAGTTCAGGGTTACCCCGGGCCAGCCACTCCCAGCGACAGAGATGAGTCATTAGAAGGGGCACAGCCAGGTCCTCTGCCCCAGGGGCAGCTCCCTGGGCCTGGCAAGAGGCCTATACAGAGGGCTGAGGTGGGCTCTTGTGTCCAGTTGGGGCGCTCCCGTTTGCAGGAACATGGGAATGTGTGTGTGTGTGTGTGTGTGTGTGTGTGTGTACACACAGGTGTGTGCTACCCCTGATCCGGGAGCAGAAGCAGGTGAGCGTATGTCAGGGTCCCTGAAGTTGGACGGTCTGCAGGGTGAAGTGGGGGCTACTTGGGTCTCTCCATGAACTAACCAGTCCCAGCGAGTGCGTGAGAGACGGAGGACACCGTGTGCCAGTGCGGGGCACGCAGGGGTGTTCGTGTGCGCGCCTGCGTGTTCCTGTGGGCAAAGAACGTGGGGGGTCCGCGCGCGGCAACAAGTTTGTGTGTCCCTGCCTGGCTCTCTGCGAGTCTCTAAAAACAAGTGTGCGGCGCCCCAGGAGCTGACAGAGGTCCTTAACAGAGGGTCCTGTGCGTGGTGAACAGGTGAGGGGAGGTCCGGCGGGGAACCTGCCAGGGGCGAGTGTGGGGTGCGGGTCCCCGCAGGAGGCTCTGTGGCTGCGGAACGCGCAGGGGTCCCCCGCGCAGCGCCCCTCGGGCCGCCCTCCCGCCCCAGCCCCCCCACTCACCCCAGCTCAGAAACTGCGCGACGTGGCGCTCTCGCCGCAGGGGGGCGCTGCTGAGCTCGTGGTGCAGCCCCAGCAGCAGGTCCAGGAGGCCGTCGAGCCCCGGGCCGCCACCGGCCTCGTCCAGCGCCAGCCGCTCCAGCGCGCGCAGCCGCCACTCCATGATTGCGGCCGGAGCGGGGGCGGGCTAGAGCCGGGCCTCCCGCATGCCCGCACCCCGGTCCGTGCGTCCGGCCAGCCGCGCGTCCTCCCCCCCCACCTTCTCGCCCGCCCCGCTGTCACCTTCCTCCGTCGCCGCCAGCGCGCCCTCACCTGGCCGCAGCGCCCCGCCCCCCCGGCCCACCCCCCCGACGGACGGGCAGGTGAGCGCCGGCCAATGGGAGCCGCGGCCGGAGGGGAAGGTAGGAGGGCGGAGGCGCGCGGGGGCGGGGCCAGCTCCCGGCCAGGAAATGAGGGGGCCGGTCCCGGAGAGTAACTCCTGGGTGGGGTGGGGCCGGGAGACGCCCTTGCGGCCGCAGCCCTGGCCCTGCAGGGGCCCTTGTGGGTCCCGGACTAGGTGGGACATGTCCGGGCCTCTGCAGCGTCCTTTGCCCCTGGACAGCCGCAGCGTGCCCCCTAGGCCGGGGAGAGGGGCCGGGGACGCCCGCGGGCCCCCGGAGCTGGATGGGAATTGTAGTCCACGCCCTCTCCAGCTCGGCCGGCTCGGGGCACACCCTTCCTTCCTCCGCCGGCACACGCCATTTCTATTTGTGTTTGTTTCCTTATGGCCGAGCTGGGGACCTGGGAAACAAACAGGTGGGGCAAAGATGGTTACACCCATTTAGCAGATGGGCATACTGAGGCCTGCGAAGGACAGAGGAACATTGAAAGGCTGAGGAGGCCCGGGGAGAGCCCAACACGGGCTTTTTAAGTCCAAGGGGAACTGGGCATGAAATGAGAGGGGCAGGAAGAGGCCTAGAACTGGCTACAGGGCTGGATTTGCCCAGTGGTAGTTAAGCAGGGACCAACCAGCAGCTGATGTGTTTGGAATCACAGAAGCCAAGGAAGCTTCATATATGTTATTAGATGGAGGGCTGGTCAAAGGGAGATAGATGTGAAGGGAGGGGGTAGAAGTGGATGGGTATCCTGGTGGATGGTGTAGCAGGGAAATAAGTGGGTAAAGATGCGTGTGAGAAAGGCAGGGACAACACTGACACTAAAGTTAACTCCACTTTAACTTGCTGGTCTGTCTGATACTTCTCTAAATCTGAACATTCACATTAAGACAGACTAGGAAGAAGGATTGGCCATCCACTTCTGAAATAGCAGACCTCTGAAAACCCTATGTACAATGGTCCTTGGAGAAGGACATCATGCTTGGGAGGGTGGAGGGACAGCGCAGGAGGGGAAGGCCCTCTATGAGGTGGATTGATTCAGTGACTGGGATAATCGGGATGGGAGTGTCAGAGACAGTGCAATTGGCACAGGACAGAGCAGAGTTTAGAGCTGTTGTACATAGGGTCGCTATGAGTTGCAAGTGACTCGACGGCACGTAACAACAAACAACAACAGTTAAGCAACAGTGGCATCCACTTCCTAAACCACATGCCTCTGAAAATTCAATTAATTTGAGAAATGACGATAGTTCTAGAAAGGCTTCAGGTCTTTTGTTCATAGGGGTGCTATGAGTCGTGCCCAACTCGACGGCAATCAACAACAACAACAAAAAGAACAAGTTAGGCCTTTTGCCTGTTATGGTGCCACTGTGGTTAAAGCGCGGTGTGCTACCCCAGAGGTTGAAGTTTGACTTAACGACTGCTCTGAGGATGTGGCTCCCACCTCCCTAAAGACTTACAGCCGTGGAAACGCTGTGGCGCAGTGAGCTGGACACTGGTGTACAGCAGTGGAGCTGTATTCGCTGGATGTCCACAGAGCTGGCCTAGAAGCTGTGGGGTCCTGGATGTGTCCGAAAGGAAGCGTTTTAGTGGCTTTAGACGACAAACTTTTTCATCCTGGTGGGGATCCCCCCCCCCCCCCGGTGACCGTGTATTGACTACTAAATTGAATTCTCCTACGTCTTCCTCCTGCAGCTCTTCCCACGGTCTCAGGGAGGTTGTGTGGGTCGCAGTACCCACATTCCGTGAAATGAGGAAATGGTCGATTGGGGAAAAGCAGAGCCAAGAACTAAATTCAAACCTGGGGCGCCCTTGCCTCAGTTTCTGCTTGGAAACTAGGGTAGGGGGGAAGGCGTTTGGATGGCTTGATCCTACACTCCTGATTCTCACCTGAGGGATTCTGGGTCCTGGTTCTGGGGTGGGGCAAAGGAGGGACCCAGGGTAGGTAGCAATGTGTCCTGCCCTCCGAGGCCACAGGGAGGCACCAGAGACCAGAGGAGAGGCAGGTGTTCTGGTTCAGACCACGGTCTTCATCTCCCAGGGCACTAGGGGGTAAGGGAGAGGTCCTGGGAAGGTCAGTCGGTTCCCGGTTCCCCTTCTGTGATACCCACTGAGACATCTGGTTCTTGGGGGACAGAGGTCAAGGTCTGATGAGGTCAAGACCTAGACTGGTAAGAGACAGGGTCCTGGCTCATTCTTTGTGGGACTGGAACAAGTCCCTAAACCTCGCTGAATGCCAAGTTCTCAAAGCCTGTCCTTTGGCCATCCAAATTCACCCACGTAGTGCAGAGGATTTGATTTAGTCTTGCGTTCCATTTGATCACATCCCCCTGAGTTCTTTGCAGATCTAGGGTCAATTCCCTGCTGGGCAGACATACCAGGCCGCACATTATCCCAGCAGATGTGTCCTCCAATTGGATGGAAACCACAGGCCTCTGGAGCTGTGAATGGCTTGGCCTGGCGCCCCAGGGAGCCCCAGGGCTCAGTGGTGGGTGAGCCCTCCCCCTCCCCACGAAGCCTCGTCTGAGTGGGTAGGTGGGGAGGAGGTTTACTATTGCAGAGCCCCGCCTGGTCAGTCTGGGCAGTGGGCCACTCTTCCTCTCCCTCCTCCCACTATCTCCCCATGTGAGTACCCCTCTGTGGTCACAGTTTCCTGGAGGCCCACTTAGCTGCTTTCCCCCCCTACCCTCGCCCCAGGCACACAGAAAAATGCGAGAAATAGAAATGCTTGCATACTTTGTTTGATTTTTATGTATAAGACCACACCCATAACCCCCTCCTGAATGTTGATGTCCTTTACCTGAACCCCTAGATCTCAAGAGGAAAGCTACCCACCTAGCTCCTTTCTTCTACCCAGCGCCATCTCCCCACAAGCGTCATGCCTCTAAATTTACTATCTACCATCTACCCTACCTACCAAGCTTCTCATCCTCTCCAGCCTGCAAATGACCCCCACCCAGCCTTTCATCCTCCTTAAACCTCTTACCTCCCCATCCAGACTCTCTTCTCCCAAGACCATCTCACCCCTTCAACCTCTCCCCACCCCTCCCCCTAGCATCTCACCCTCCCAACCTCCCCCTCCTCCATCCCCTCAACTCTCTGCACTCTCTCACTTCTCTCCCCACCCCTTCCTCCCCTAATCCCTAATCTGCTCCTAGACTCTTGCTACCCCCCAGACTCTCACCTTCTTCCTTCTCCCCCCTCCATGCTGACTGTCAGCTGTGACCCAGCCTGGCAGGAGACACCTGGCATTCCTAAGGTGCTCCTTGGCATTTCAAGGACCAGATGTGCTATCTTCACAAGCACCCAGTCAGCGCAGGGAGCTAGGATTACCCTCTCTTAACAGATGCACGTGGAGCCCTAGTGTTACAGTGCTTAAAGTGCTCCACTGCAACCGGAAGTTCAGCTGCTTGAACCCACTGAGGGGGGAGAAACGTGTGGCAATCTTTATCTTTCAAGATTTACAGCTTTTATAAAACAAAATATGTGTGGATGAATGAAAAACCAGTAAGATTTGTAAACTTTCATGCAAATAAAAAAATATTTATAGCCTTGGAAAGCCTCTGTGTCATGGGCAGGAGTAGGAAAAGTGGTGAAACAGGCCTGCAGACTGGGTGGCGTGGCTCACCCAGGCCTCAGACACCAGTCACCTGAGTCCCAGGCCAGCGGCTGGTGGCAGAAGGCACCCCAGACGACAAGGGTAGGCTTTGGTGACCTTGGATGATGAGCAAAGGAAACCAGCATTTCAACGGCTTAGCAGGAAGAAAGGAAAGTCCAGATAAGAGGAGAAACCCCAAGAGGTGGTAGGGCAGGGAGGGGCCCCAGAGCCCAATGCAAGCAAGTGACAAGAACCCCGGGTCTCCAGAGCACACCCTCAAGATCTGGAAGGGCCCCAAGGCTCAGCTTCTCAGCTAAGTGGTGGGCCTCCTGGGGCTGGGTCCTGAGACTCCCCTAACCCCGACCCTTTCCCTTGGTCCAGAGAGTCAGCAACCCCCCCTTGGCTGAAGCCAGGACTCTCCCTGCACTGGCCCTGGGATGCTACTCTGAGCAAAGGGTCCTACAGAGTTAACAAGAATGACAGGCCACTCCTGTCCCAGCCCCGTGCTTGCCCCTGGGATTCCTGGCACAGGGGGCCCGCCCCCTCCCTCACCTGGGCGAGTCACGCTTGTTCCTGTGACTGGTTATAGGGGAGCACTGCACCTGCTCAGGGGTGAGAGATGATGAGGTGCACAGCATGCCTGCCACTGTCTACACTGGCAATTGTCTCACAAGATTATGGGTGGCACCGTGGCTGGGGGGGGGGTTGTCGAGGGAGCACAGTTAGAACGCGCTCAGCTGCCCCAGACCACAACACCACGCGCCAGTGCAGAACAGAGGATTGCCAGTGGCTGCTTTCTCAGTAGATCACCAGGCCTTTCTTCCTAGGCGCGGCTGCTACGAGCTCAGGAAACATTCGTCCTGAGTGGACAGTGGCTGCTCCAGCAGCATTTATTTAAGCGAGTGTCTTCTGGGGTCCTTTAGGGGAGGATGCAGTTGAGGATCTCTGCTCCCCCAGTTAGTCTTTGGCAGCTCCACTGGCCACGTCCCAGGTCCGGCCCAGCACACCGGGGTGTGTCCTTTGAAGACTCCAAAGCTCCTAATGAGTGAACATATGGTGATGTCGTCATCCTGATTTTTCATCCAAAAACCTTCCTTGGGCAGCTCCGGCAAGCTGAAGGGGCTCCTCTCATGCTCCTAGCCTCCCCGGCCTGGCTGGCCCCACCGGTCACCACGGTCCATGTGGTTTTAT